AAATGTCAGCCTTCCTGCTCCTCTGATGCTGCTTGGCCTGCTGTGTTCATCCAGCTCTACACCTTGTTATCTCAGATTCTCCAGCATCTGCAGTTCCTACTATCTCTGAAAGAATAGTTAGGTGGTTGTTTTTGACCACTTGATGACCCAAAGGGTCTTTTTCTGTGTTGTAGACTTAGACTTCTGTAACTCTGTGACTCTATGACATCCTGCAATTATGGCAGATTATTATGGGCTCAACTTGAAAAATAAGAGCACTTCAGGAAAACAGGATAGCGTTGTTTATTTCATAAATAGGTATGGAGAGGAAGCTTTTACACCCTACGTGTAAAACTTATTCTCTTAAGTTAAAGAACACTTTCAAGCTTTATACAGATTACAACACGCAAATTACAATTCCCACACTTCAGTGTCCATGAGCCTCACAATACCTTTGTTCTCCCACAGTCTTTCAGAGGCATTTTCTGTCCTTCACTCAAGGCACCTGATAGTGTAGGTTCTATCATCTCATTTGTCATTAAATTTTTCTGTACTAGCTTAATTATTATTGATTACACGGCTAAAGCTTTAACACTTAATCAACCCATTCAGCAACCTCCTCCAAAAGTTCAACTAAATTAGTCAGACATGATATACCTTTCACAAATCTATGCTGACTCCCTTTGATTATCCTATATAATTATTGCATGGGTACTCACACATCATCTAGTTTACAGGGATTGATGAATGCTTTAAGCACATAAGACAAAATATACTGCCTTGACTAACTTCTTGGCCAATTAATCTGATCTAGCTATATAAACCATGGGCGCTTTATGTGAAGATCCACATGGATGTAACTTCACAAATTAAGGCTAAATTTCTATTATCAATAATTTTCAAAAATCTCAAACTGCTGACAATAAGAATGCCTGAGGTGGATGTTATGCATTATAAAATCTGTATTTAAATAAGAGTCCATGTCCACACTTTTAGTCAGAGCTTCTGTTAAACACATTCCCCCCACTAACACTATCTCCCAATATTTATAAAACAATTTGCAACTGATTAATGTTTAATTAATATACCCTTCACCTCTTCTCTCAATGCATTGGGTCTTGTTTTTTTTTTCGTTCATGGGACGTAGTCATTGCTGGCTGGGCCAGCATTTATTGCCCATTCCTAGTTGTCCTTGAGAAGATGGTGGTGAGCTGCCTTCTTCAAAAAATCTATTTGGTGCCTTTATGGAAGGAATTCTGCCATCTGCCATAGTCTGCCATTTCTGCCACAGTCTCCTTCTGCCTCACTCCCTTTTACAGAATTAGCATTTTACCAATCTGTTGGAACCTTTCTGCATCCAGAGAATTTTTGAATATTATAATCAATGATCCACTATCTCTGCTGCCATTCTTTTAAGACCCTAGGAAGTAGGCCATCAAACCCTGGAGACTTGTCTGCCTTCAATCCCAGTAGTTTGTTCGGTACTTTTTCCCTAGTGATAATGATTGTTTAAGTTTCTCCCTTTCTAAGACTTCTGAATTATCTGGTACTATTGGGAAGGGTACCAGTGTCCTCCACCATGGAAACTGAGCCAAAATACTAATTTAGTATTTCTGACAGTTCTGTGTTATTTATTTATTGGTTGAACAGGCTTGAGGGGCAGAATGGTTCATTCCTGCTTCTAATTTGTATGTTGTCATTTGGCATCAGAAGTGTTATATGCTGCTGGAACTCTGTAGCTCCAAATTAATTGTGGCATCAGAGAATAACAATTTAATATGGAGAAGTTTTTAAGCTGAGCCAAGGTTGTCACCTTTCCAATTCATGCTCTAATTAGTGCTTTTCATAGTTAAATCTCTTTGTTACAAAAGGAAATATCCTGGAAAAACAAAAAGTCATTTGATAATGACTTCATTAAACCTTTCATTAAAACAAAAGGGCGAATTGCACCCCATGCATCCCTTAGTGAAATGAGGTAATTCCCTGGGAGCTGTAGAATTCCATGCTGATATCAATGGCTTCTTTGTAATGAGATGAATGCTGTGAAATGTACTGGTATGTACTAATACAGAGTACGATCTAATTCTGGTTTGAACTTTCCATTTCCCCAAAGGACTTCTTTGCTTCACAACTAAAAGGACAGCGTGCCAATAACAGCAGGTGCCAATGCTGAGTACTGGGTATACCCACTGCCTCCTGGTGGTCTAAACGTATATGTCATGACAAAATGATAATTGATATTATTATAGAAATGACCAAGGGGATCTTATCTCAGTTAATCCTATACATTTGTATAATGGTTGAATGGCTTATATACCTACAGAAAAGTATTTTATCATAATTGTTTACTTTATGTCCTTCCCTCATTTTACCCTCAATATTTTTCTAAACGTTTTATTTTCTAGCAATGTTACTACTTCTAGGTCAGTGTGTATAATTTCCTCGCATGTCTGTGATCTGATGCATATTGGCTTCGTGTCCTCTCAAAACCTTATGAAATTATTTAAAGCTATCAAAAAATCCTTTATTTTAAATTTTGCCCCTACATTCGAAATGGAAAGTTGGAAGACGAGAACAGAGAATTTAAGAAAGTAAGAAGTCAAAATAATAAACTAAAGGCACAATGTCAAAATTTGATATCTCCTTTTTAATTACATTTTAAAGTATTCATTTTGCATTTTAAGTTCAACATTATCTCTTGGGTGAAATCAATCTTGAGTCAAAAGTCTGTGTGTTATAATCACAAGCATGTAGATTGCAAAATGCTGTGCTGAGGAGAATGCTGCAGTGTCGGAGTGATGTTAGTTCAATCATCACCTGTTTGTTCAGGTAAATTGTTAAAATTGTTAAATTGCATTCAAAGAAGATGAGGACGTCCATCAATCTTCAACCAACACCACCAAAAATGCAAATTCACTGATCATGTTTACTCACTGATGTTTATGTTACATGGTGAATCAAAATAGTTGTTCTGTTTATTTACCTTTCAACTGTTATAACACTGAAATGTATTTATGTAGAATGCTTTGAGACAATTAAATAACATAGTAAGGCACTATATAAGTAAGTATAAGAATTTCATCATTATTTTCTTCAAAATAAATTGAATTAACTGTATAGCATGTACTATCAGCATTTGTTTTCATGTCATGACACTTAAGATTCACAAGATCTATATAACCAAGGAAACATTCAAGAGCACCTGCTTGCAGTTAAAGGTTAAGTCAGTTCTTTCAGTGATACCTCTTAAGCAATGCATCCTGCTTAAACAAATAGATTCAAAAATAAATTAGTTGCAAAAAAAATAAGTAAAAAAGATGTAAATGCTCATTAAAAATATTTGACCTTTAAAAAAATGAATGTAAAAAGAGATGTGTAGGTTCTAAACGAAAGTAGATTAAGAGGTGTTTTTAAATTGTAGAAAGAAGTAACTGAATTAAATATTGAACTGTTAGAGCTATAGAGAAATATGTGTCTTATTAACTTGAGAAGCTTACAGTTCATACATTGTGATATGGAAACAATAAGTAATAATGCAGGAGTAGGGTTAATCATTTTATCGGTTGAAAAAATATGATATACTTACGGAACAGCGAACTAGCTTGGCGAACCAACCAACCTCAATATACCTATATATTTATCATGTTGTTAATTCTAGGGTGCAGGAGTATATCCCACTGGGTTCAACAGAAAATCCCATTGTCTAATCCTTCGTGCTCCAGCACATAAAGGGAATGGAGACCTTGTAAAAGCCCAGAGATCATTTGACATGAAGTGGAAATTTGTGCTATAAGTATAACCTATAATGGTAAGTATATGTTATGTACTGTATTGAAAGAAAGTGAACTGGTAACTTAGTTTTCCGTCATGGATGTTGCCAGACATGGTGAATATTTCAGGTATTTTCAATTTCTATTATCATGTTGCCAACAGTCATTAATAGAAACATCACACACACAGCAATGAAATGAACAACAAATTAATCTGATTACTGTGTCACAGTAATAATTTTGCAAAACAAGTGAAAGTGGTTCCCTTGAAGAGGCAGTATGTGAGTATATAATTAATCATGATAATGGATCATGCAGATTCACCTAATGGACTGGGATGAGTAACTGGTTTCAGTTATGAATGCAGTTATAGGTGTCTTTGTTCTTGCTCTTATTCACCTGGGTTATGACAGCTTGTGATTGAGCTAGCTGCTGGCAATAACTAGACTAGCATGTTACAAATGGCTACTTTTAGCTATAGAAACAAATCTCAGCACCAGAGAAATAGGATAAAACTGAAGGGGAGCTAAATTATAGAAAATATTACAAAGTTACTAGAGATGAGGTATTTAATGATAGGAGCGCAACACCATAACTTCAAGATCAATGATACTTGGGACTAAATTACTGAAACATTGAAAATATTTCATGAGCTTCTTTAAATTAATTTGTGGTTCCTGATGTAAATACTCAGACTTAACATATTGCACAATGGTCACTGAAGGCTGAGTGTTATATATGACACACTGATTGTTAATTTCTATGGGCCATCACCTCACCTACAATGAAAAGTGTTATACAAGATGAAAAAGTTATAGGAAATCTTTTCCAGATTCATTTTCATAGATGCTCCAGTGCTGGACAATTTGTGAGGAGCAATCAGTTACAGATCTATTTGCATTACCAAATTTCAAAACTACCCTGTAAGTATTTAATGCTTTTACTTAATTAACCTGTTAATTGAATCACTTCAGGGAGCATAAGTAGCAGTTTGCTCTATTTAAAAGAGCAATTGAAGATAAAGCAATGCCTGGAAAAAAATAATTATAATAGAGAAAGAAAGTAGAAAAGTTGGAAAGCCACCAGTCCTTACCTCAAAGTTGGCTGCAGCTATGTTCACTTCCAAGCAATTGAATGATAGAATAAGACAAATGGAGAGACCTATTGCTTTTTTTTTGCCTGTCAAAGCTTCGTATTTGCTAGATGACACCAGCAATTGAACAGATAGCAATTCTTTTGCCAGTCTATAAATACAGTATATTTCAAGCAACTGCTGTCCACTAGAGATAAGAACCACCAATGCTATGCATAACATCCTACCTTTTAAGGTATCAGAAATTTAACAACATGTGGCCAGCAATGGAAAATCTGCACAAGTAGAAAATGTAACTACTTATCTGGTCATGTCAAGGACAAACTGAAATGGGAATAAATCATGGTCAAACTCAATTAAAATTTTTCTTATTTCTAGAACTTTATTGTCACGTAAGCAACTGAGCATTTCACAAAAGAAACTCAATACCTGAGATTTAGATTCATAAATACAGAATGATTCCAGATTATGAAGCATTCTTATGAAGCCCCACTGGTGACCTTCATGCCGATTGTCTTAATCTCTAATCAGTTAAGTAACACAGTCGTGGCTATGATCAGATTTAACAATTGTCTCACAGTAAGACGACTGTAATAAAATATTATTAAGATTCAGCAGAGAAGTTAGTAAGAAACCATCACAGAAGCTGGAAAAGAAGAACCTTTGGTCATTCAGTTTAATAGATCTAAAACGTTACAGTCTTAAACCCACAAATACATTTCTAGCTGCACGTTATCTAATCATCACTGTGTTGCTTGTGATGTACTAGACTAGTATCTAAGATATCCATGTTAATACTTCACAAGAATCACTTCAACCCTTCCTCAGTAGATTGCTAGGTTTAAGTTTAATTACTAAATCATGTTTTTTATTCATTCATGGGATGTGTGCATTCCTGGCTGAGCTATCATTTATTGCCTATCACTGACTGCCTCTTGAACTGATTTCAGAAGGCAGTTAACAGTCAACCACATTACTGTGGATCTGGAGTCACTTGTAACCAGACCAGGTAAGGGTGGCAGATTTCATTTCCTAAACAACATTAGTGAATGAGGTGGGTTTTTACAACAATTGACAATGGTTACATTGTCATATAATGAAAGAATGACTTTAAGAGGTGTATTTTAGTCCTAGTTTTTGTTTTACGAAGAAAGTTTGAGACAGAGGAGAAAAGCAGTCTGCTCAAAGCCAATAAAGTAAACAGCTTGTGAGGCCTAAAGGTTTTTTTAAATTGGAACAATAGAAGCAGCCTGAATGGGTGTTGTCAACCTTCCACTCAACCAGGATTTTTAGTTTCAGCTTTCAGCAGTTGCTGGAATCTTGAAGTTAGATGTGAAAGCTCTTATTCCTCTCTCTGTTACAACTAAAAGCTGCGGTTCTCTTCCTGCTGCTAGAATTGCATGTGAGACAATCTAATTTACTGAAATAGTAGGAACTGCAGATGCTGGAGAATCTGAGATAACAAGGTGTAGAGCTGGATGAGCACAGCAGGCCAAGCAGCATCAGAGGAGCAGGAAAGCTGACGGGCCCGAAACATCAGCTTTCCTTCTCCTCTGATGCTGCTCGGCCTGCTGTGTTCATCCAGCTCTACACCACTATTTTACTGAATTTGCTTTTGCTAAGAGTGTGTTTATGGGATGTTACTATATTGGAACAGTAAAACAGTAGTAGTTAATATATATATTATTTTGTTAAGCATTTCAATAGACTTATCATTAAGCCTATGCTTTTATGTTTATTTTGTTTGTATTTTAACTGTAGTGTAAAAATAAAGCATGTTTCGCTTGAAGTTGAGTAATTTGACCAATCAAATTGCATCTAGAATGCAACACCTTACACTTACCTTTAAAACAAGAACAAGTTAGAGTCTAGGCTAGCTTCTTAAAATATTTTAAAGGATCTGGTCTGTACCAAATTGGAGGCTCTGGTCAGGATCAAAATCTGTAATTCCAGGTTAGGTTTAGGATTATTGGAATCAAAGGCAGTGTGGTGTTCTCTTTTCGGGCGTTGCATTTGGTTGGTTTAAATAGGGTGTGCCTTACGTAATAAATGATCTTTCAGTCACTACAAGCTGCCTGTATGGTGGAAGAAAGTGAGCAAGGTGAAGCTTTTGGAATTGGTTGACAAGCTGGAGTTAACAACAATAAACAGAATGCAGACAGAACAGCCAGCATCAACCCAGCTCTGATTGTTAGTGGTTAGATTGTCTCTTATTGGAAAGGTAATGCCTGGCATTTCCGTAGCACAAATGTTACTTGTCAGCCAAAGTCTGGATATTGTACAGATCAATGACTAAGGGTGGCTTGGTAGTTTCACTATTGGCTAGGCCTGCCAGAATGGGCTAGCAGCAGATGTGACAGAACTAACAAAAAGATAAAATCTTTCTGACATCACCCTCACCAGTTTACCTGCCACAACAACAACTTATATTTGTACACTGGCTTTATCCCATGACTCGGCAACAACTGATCTTTGCAAAAGAGAATTCCAAAGGTTAACATGCCTTTAGGAGAAGGAGTTACTCCTTATCTCTGCCTTAAATGGGAATATTCTTATTTTCAAACCAGACCCTGCAGTTCTAGATTGGGCCACAAGCAAATACATCCTGGCAGAATTTTCTTTCTCATTCATTCGTGGGATGTGCACATCACAGCCTGGTCTGTATTTATTACCTGTCCCTATTTGCCCTTGAGAACATGGTGGTGAGCTGCCTTCTTGAACTGCTGCCTTCCATGTATAGCAGTTTGGCTAACAATGCTCTCAAGAAAGGAATTTCAGGATTTTGACCCACTGACACTGAGCATTGGTGGCGGAGGGAGTGGATGCTTGTCGATGTGGATGCAGGCAGCTTTGTCCTGGGTGGTGTCAAGCTTCTTGAATGTTGTTGGAGTTGCATTAATCCAGACATGTGGTGAGTGTTCCATTGCACTCCTCACTAGTGCCTTGTAGATGGCCGACACACTTTGGGGAGTCAAGAGGTGAGTTGTTTGCTGCAGTGTTCCTAGCCTCTGATCTGCTCATGTAGCCACTGTGTTTATGTGTCGAGTCCAGTTGAGTTTCTGCTCAATAGTAACCCCCAGGATGTTGACAGTTGGGGTTTCAGTGATGGTAACACCGTTGAATATCAAGGGATAATGGATAGATTATCTCTTATTGGAGATGGTCACTGCCTGGCATTTGTGTGGCTCAAATGTCACTTGCCACTTGTCAGCCCAAGCCTGGATATTGTCCAGATCTTCTTGCGTTTGAACATGACTACATCAGTATCTGAGGAATCACAAATAGTGCTGAACATTCTGCAACCATTAGTGAATATCCCCACTTCTCACCTTATGATGGAGGGAAGGTCATTGATGAAGCAGCTGAAGATGGTTGGGCCTAGGAAACTACCCTGAGGAACTCTTGCAGAGAAGCCCTGGAGCTGAGATGATTGACCTCCAACAACCGCAACCATCTTTCTATCAGGTATGACTCCAACCATGGGAGAGTTTTCCCCCAGTACTCATTGATTCCAGTTTTGCTAGGGATCCTTGATGCCACTCTTGGTCAAAAGAAGCCTTGATGTCAAGGGGTGTCACTCACGCCTCATCTCTGGAATTCAGCTGTTTTGTCCCTGTTTGAACCAAGGCTGTAATGAGGTCAAGAGCTGAGTGGCCCTGGCAGAACCCAAACTGGGCACCACTGAACAGGTTATTGCTGAGTGTGAGCTGCATGATAGCACTGTCACAATCATCTGCATGATAGCACCTTCCATCACTTTCCTGATGATCGAGAGGAGACTGATGGGATGATAATTGGTTGGGTTGGATTTGTCCTGCTTTTGGTGTACAGAACATTTCTGGGCAATTTTCCACATTGTCTGATAGATGCCAGTGTTGTAACTGTACTGGAACAGCTTGGCTAGGGTAGTGGCAAGTTCTGGAGCACAAATTTCCGGTAACGTTG